GAGGGTATATGAGGGCCGGATACGGTTAAGGTTACATATATAAATTACATTTATTCATTCAAAATACTGATTACAGTTATACATGGACCGGATCAACATGTCACCGGCCCACCAGCGGCCGAGCGGTAAAGTCGCTGAACACTGGTAGTTCGGTCCGAGGTTCGAATTCCGCGAACGGGCTGGCTGCATGGGCATTTTCGTGGTTTTCCCTATGTGTAACGTGTATACGAGCCAGTTTCCCTTAGAAAGTCCTCCACGAAGGCATCCCTCCCCTTAGGCAGATAGCCCTCGAGGCTTTGCCATAATTACACAAACAAGCAAACAACTTGTCGCCAAGTTTGCAAACTTTTGGCGATATTTCGCCAAATTTAGAGGCAAAAATTAGTTTTTTAAACCGTCGCCAACTCGGCCACGTATCGCCGATTTAGCAAGATAGAAATTTGTACAGTGTAAACAGACTGTTCTCTGTATTCTTATTTTTTTTTCGGGAAAACATTGCCTCTTCAGATTTTAATGTTACATTATACAAAAGAGACTACAGTTTTACATATAAGTTCACTAAAATCATTAAATATATACGAAATTCGTAGCACACGTTTACTATTACTGATAGCACTCATAAATAATTTTTTTAAATGATGTTAATTAATACTATTGCGTTGTACATCAGCTAATTTAGTTGCAAATTCACTGTTAAAAACATGCATTAAGTTTGGGATTTCACTTAAAATAATTTCGGAAAATGAACTGCAATTTATTAGTGATATTTTTTAAAAGCTATGACTGATCTGAAATAACGTATATAAAAATTACCCGTTCAGACCTCAACCAAACATCGCTGAGTACGCGAAGGGGAATATAATGCAGATAATTCGTTGCTATGTTAAGATGAATCACAACTGCTAGGATGTCCACACTGAGGATTTAGCTAATGCACTGCGGTCAGTTAAGCACGAGATGACTGATAATGCGCCAGGAGAGTTGTTCTGGAGACAAAAATTTATGACAATCTTAGTTAAATTATTTTATTTGCAGAATAGGGAAGAAGATTAACATTCAAATGTTCATCCAAGAGGCACTCAAAATGACGGATAAAACCGGAGTAAAGTAAAAGTTGCATTGCGATAAAAGATGAAGGAAGGCCAGTATAAATATTGAAAACAAAGTATTAAAAATAAAACATGAGCTGTCATCCAACGAAAAAATAAAAACAAATTGTAAGGGCCTTTTGTAGTTGCGAATATTAAAGGCAAAGTGATGATATTGTAAATCGAAGCTGGAAAGACGATTTCCACAAATGTGGATCAATTGAAAAATTTCTACGATACAAGTTTACCCTGAGTTTTCATAAAATTCATGTTACTTCACATTATATTTTTTAAAGTTATAGAGCAGAGTCACAAGCTTTGCCAAAACCAAATTTTTTTGAAGCCTGCAAATACGAAAAATGAGCAATGATCTCGCCGGAAACTTCAGATTTCCCGATTGCTAGGCGGATGTGCTTCCAATTACAACATGAAGACACTAGGTAAGAAGGGAGATATACCTTACAATATTAATGAATAGAAGTTAGCATTATATGTTATTTATAACAATATCGCGAAAATAATATTATAAGATAGTTATAATAATATTTTCGCGATATTGTTAAACGCTTCTCAGCATATAAAATAATAAAATGTGCAATTTAAAATTTACGAGTTTAAGTCTGAATTAGAAATCTTTTTAGTTAAGGTTTGCAAACAATTTACATCAGAGAATCATAATTCAATTTTGCTTGGTTTAAGCACATGACATTATGTACAATCAGTTATTCAAGCACCCATTTATTGTAGTGCTAACGAAAATGGACTGTGGTAGAGTTTGATGCTGATATTGGCAAAAAATACAACTGCTGTTTATATTAGGTATAAATTGATATACAATGGGCTTATAAATTGTATTACATTCAATTTAATTGCCAAGCATTGATATCGCATGGTTACTCCATATAAGAGGGTGTTAAGTTACAATAATTATGTAACTTAACACCCTCTTGTGTGGTGATGCTGATAATGGCAAAAATACAACTTCTGTTTATATTAGGTATAAAACAAATACAACTGCTGTTTATATTAAATATAAATTCATATACAAGTTTATTTTCTATGTCAAGGCAGAAATACAGAGATATGAACTCAAATAATTTTCAGCGTAGTGTTAAGTTTATTTAACAAAATTAAAAAAAAAAAAATAGTCGAAGGAAATTTATCTTTATTCAAGAAACATCGCCAGTTCAAACTCATTATAAAAATAAGGATTCTGTTACGTTTGCTTGGACGTATTACAGTTTCACAGTACGATTGATTTCATATTTTTCAATACAAATACTATATTTTTTTATCAGTTTGTGCAACCAGCATATCATCAAGGCCTCTAAATAGCAGCACTCCTTTTGAGAAATAAATGTATATGATTTATCATTCGACTTCAAATTTTATTGTTTTAGTACTCTTCTGTTATCGGTACTGTATTCAGAAATGTATGTAAAGTACGCACGTGTATATGTGCCTATACGTGTGTGTATACACACACATATATACAACATATATGCATGCATACATTAACCTATACATGCATACATGCATACATACATTTCTGAATTTGATACTGATAACAAAAGAATTCATTGTTTTTACAGCCATATTTTATGAAGTTTTACAGATTATTTCCGTTCGCTTATTTAACTGAAGACTTTGTCTTGATCGCTCACGCATGAAAATCTCTAATATCTAATATTACAACCATAGCTTAATTTCTAAAATCAGAAATGATGGAGCTTTATGTGAGCCGCCTGTAAGAGTGAACAAAAATAAATGAATAAAATAGTAATAAATAAAACAATTTGAATAATTGCAATGAATAATTAAGATCAAGTAAAATATAAAAGGTTACAAGTGTTAATGAACTAAATTAAATTAATGAAAAAGAAAGAAAAAAATTAAATCTGAAAGCTTTCAGATTTTATATTTCGCCCAAAGGGGCGTTTTTTTTTTTTTTTTTTTTTTTTTTTTTTTTTTTTTTCCATCTACATACGTATACACGTTTCGAGAGCATTTGCACTAATGTCTCTTTGGCTTAAAAAATATTTAAAAACAGCATATCTTTAGAATTTCCGATAGACAGTCTCGTGCGTTGGAGATAATTTTTTCCCATACAGTGTTGCCACTGCTCGCTTTGAAATCGTTGAGTTTATTAATCAAAAATTCGTTAAACTTTTACAAAATACGAAAAAAAAATAATAAAAAAACGAATTCCAAATTCGAGCTTGCAGATACTCATATTCGGTTAGAGAACTATGTTATTCAAAATTTGAAGTCTCTTGGTACAGTTGTTTTCTTCACAATGCGATAAACATGCATACATTCAGGCAGATTCTTCATTATTTAATTTCTCTAAATCTAAAACAAGGCGGTAATATTTGGTGGTAACAATTTGAAAAGCGGTACGCCGTTTCAAGACAGATATTCCATTTGGCACTAACATTCCTTTCGGTATAATATATTTCACATTGAAAAGTGAAAAATGAAAAATGAAAAAAATCAATAATAATAAATTTTAAAAGATTCATAAAAATTAAGTGAAAAGCTCAAAATAGTGAAAGGTGAGTAAATTAATAGAAACAAAACATGATACTGAGGATTGAAAAAAAGGGTAAGCATTTTGATTTGCATTCTTCGTAGTCAGATAAAATTGTATTTTAATTTTGGCTTCGAATCCGTTTGAAGCCATTTTGGCCAGATGTCTATGGCCCATAAAAATTTCTTTTCCTGACAAGATCACATTTTCACATAGAAAATTTTCTTCCTCAGCTTTTTTAATATTCCCGTTAGTTCTTCTCAGGAAAATTCAGACATTCATTCAGCATCTAGCACCAAGATCAGTTTTAGTAAATGCTAAATAAAATGTTATGTTAATAAAATAATTTTCTATTAACAGTACGACCCATTTGCACAGTCAAATACCGGAACTTGTTTTATCTGGAGTGCTTGCTTGAAATTACGATTTCACTCAAAATTTGTGATATAGTGGAACAGGACTTTGGCTACATTGAATTGAACTGATTTAGATATAAATTGATTTTCTAACTGATTAACTTTATAATAGTGACTAATACATTTTCATAACATTTAAAATAAATAAAGGATTCGACATCGATTAACGATGGACTTATGACAAATGTGATTTTAGCATAAACATACGTGATTTTTTCAGGAACTAAAACTCCTGTTCAGTGTGTTACTAACAGATAAAACATGTTTGTACGTAAAGCACATGTTCTCATGCATCAATAATGCATTAGTAAAAAAGTCACAAAGATATGTGTTGAATATTTGCAGACACAGAATAAAAGTTGGGAAATTTTCTTAAAACACGTTCCACTCAGTTTAGTGTAACGAAAGGTTTACAACCTCTTTTCTTAAAGTACTAATTATTGAAACTTAACACCCTCTTATGCAGAGTAAACATGCAATATCAATGCTTGGCAATTAAATTGAATGTAATACAATTTATAAGCCCATTGCATAACTTAAAGTTCTAATTTAATAAATCAAACTTTTCAGGTGTATCGATATTACATCTGGTTATCAGATAATAATGTTCAATTCCAGAATTCTTCGCCGCAAATCGTATTGACTTTTTACCACTTGCATTTCGTTCCAGACAGACAATATCACGTGGCAACAAATTATAGAATGTTAAATGCTCATAATAATGATTAATTTCTATACGAATCATTGAACTGATTATTAATTAACGTACATAATCAGTTAATTGTCAGCTGAAGTCTTTACATTATTTACATCTTCTGCAGGGAGTTGTTATGCTTACATAATCAGAATAGATAAGATAAAGCAAAAATTAAATATTGCTATTTAAACATTTAAAGGTAAATGTAATAACAAATCTTATAATTAAAATGTGGAAGATAAAATTTAGGAGAACGTAACTATACTTACATACACCAGGATGAAAATCCAGTTTTTTGGAATATATGCTTTTCACCCAGGAGAGGTTTCCTATAAGAAAAGTGGGTGGTGTTCCTGGTAATTTTCGTAAAATAGCTATACGTTCCTTCCGTCGGATATGCCATTGTATTATGTAAATGGCTAAGATGGCTGACCACAAAATAAACCAACACAACATATCTGGAAAGAATTATCTTTGGCTTATTGATCTTGCAATGATGTTGTTATTGATCAGTAAACTAACTTCTAATATTTCTCAATATTTCTGTTGCAGACACTTTTTCTCTTAAACACAAAAATTATAGAAATATTGCTTTTCATTTTTAATTATCAGGTAAGTTGTACTAACATGTTACACAGTTGAGCTTCAGTGGTTAGCCGATTCTGTTGAATTCTCCTACCCTAATAATCACTAAGAGATTTCAGCATTATTAGTAGACATACAAAATATAATAAATTTATTCGAATATTATAATTATAATCACTTCACAGACGAGGAAAATGCTATCTTTAAAACGTTCCGAAATTCAGTAAAGATTTTGAAATCGCTACAATTATATTAAATCAAATTGGTTGATGAGTATATCTATAACTATTTCATCGATATAGAAAATGCCATTTAAAATATAATCTGAAATATACGATAATATGGTCGAAATCACCACTAGAATATTATTAGAACAATATTTCAATAATTATTAAATAGTACGTCCACCGACACTGCATTAACGTATAAAGTGCAACTTTCAGGGCTTTCTGAAATTTGAAGAGACTTTCAATGGAAAAATAAAACCACTATGCGAAACATGTAAACTCACGCATCCATAAGGTCGATTATCTTTCATAAAGTGCTTTATAAGATCCACGAAAGATAAATTATACTGCTTTTTTCAACAGTTTTACGAGAGAGGCGAGAAATGTAGATTGTTCTTTCGTTGGCGCAACGCCCACTAAGACTCTCGACTCGTAAAAATAAACGGAGGTCGAGAAATTGCGCTCTCTCCGACGTTCGTTCAGCTGAGATATCATTTCCTCCATCAATTTTTAAGATTGTGAGAGAAAATATTCACAGACAAATCCGATAACATTATCTCAAAAGAGACGTCTGTTGATTGTCTGAAACGCAATATCCGCACGGAAATTCAAATCGGTAACTAGTTGTCTTTTCAGTTATTGTAATTATTATGCTTTAAATTCATTCAATGAGGATAAATCACACCAAAATTCAAGTCATGGAAAAAATAAAAGGATTTTTCACGGAATTACATAATATAAGACTTATTCCTCTTAAAAGCAGCCTCTTTAAGCCTCTTATTCCTCTTTAACTCATTCCCCTTTAAAAGGGGAAGTATATAAGGTAGACGCTTTTATTACATAGAAAATAAAATATATATTTAAATTCAGTTAAGTCTTGATTAACTCCAGTATACAGCAGGGACGGAAGTCCGCGAATATTTCAAAATTATGGTCAGTTCGAGAGCAGTCGGAAAATATAACAAAAGGAATAACGGATATGAAAAAAAAAAAAAAAAAAAAAAAAAAAAAAAAGAGGGAAGACCAATCATCGAATTGCCTAAAGGGCCGTTCCCACTAAGGCTTATCTGAGCTAACGGAGACAACTAACGTAGCCGACCCATCTCCAAAACCAGTTTTTTCCAATAGTACAGCAAGTTGAAAAATCTGAGCTGCAAGCACAGCGGAGCTAGTCGACACAGGGAACTGACTCCGTTAGCTCAGATAAATCCCAGTGGGAACGGCCCTTTAAAGAGAAACATTCACAAAAAAATTCGAATAAGGTCATTAAGTTCAAACTCTCATATTTAAATTATGTATTGTTGTAGATATTATGTATATGTATTGTTGTAGATATTATGTATACGTATTGTTGTAGATGAAACGTTTTTTTCAAATGTTAGTCTTTTGTTATTACTGCTGTTATCCCACGCTTCCCCCCTTTCTAATTTCCATAGACAGTTTTGTTTTACTGTGATGATTTGTGAATATGATCTTCACTATTTCGCAGTAACCGAACTTAAGCTTTTTTTTTAAACGGGGACTGATTAATCGGGATTGACAGTAGAGTAAACCCTTCCTGAGAGGTCACACATGAAAGGGATCAATGTTTCTGATCTTTATAACTGAGCATAGCCTGGATTAAAAATAGCTCTTAATTCTTAAATTATTCAGCTTATTAAGCAGTTATGCAGTCCTGATCAGTATAATAGTTAGCGTTGCTGACTGCCGCATCGTTGTGCCTGGGTTCGAATTAAGGAGCAGCTTCGAGTTTGTAAGTGCGTAGTGTCTTTGTGGCATAGATTTACTTTAGGTACACGGTAAGCGGAAAGTCCTCTCTAGTAATTTGAAGCTAGAGGAAGAGGATTGGGAGATTTTTGAATTCATCGGAGATGGAGAAAGTAGTACTGATACTATCTGTAAGTAGTACCTGCCAACACCAACCTACTTGTTAATAGTACCTGTAAGGCTCCCAAGGCAATGCCAGTGAGGAGCAATCCTGTCCAGGATAAAATTCGTGGACTAACGATTTTTATATCTCGTGTAAAGACAAACACTGCCGAGTTTGCATGAATTATTAATTTCATGGAAGTATATGGTCATGGGCAGAAAAAAAAAATTAAAGATTCTGGTGAATGCCTTTTAAGTGACAAATTCGTTCTGAAAATTACACATTTTTATGCGAATATGAAAGTAAATTTATAAGGTATTTCTTCCGCTTTCTTAGCACACCTTCGTGGTGTAATGGTCAGCACAGTGGACGCGTATTCGAGAAGCCCGAGGTTCGAGTCCTGGCGAGGGCATTGCTCATTTTTCACATCTCCTGCTTCCAAAAAATACCTAATATCTCTACAGTGGTGCCCGAACTTGAACTAAAAATGGTGGTGGATGATGATTCTTCAACAACAGGATTTGGCGATTGGGTCCCCTAATCCCCAGTCTCCCTTTAAAAGGGAAGTATATAAGGTAGTTCTCCCGCCTTTTTAGCATGCCTTCGTGGTGTAATGGTCAGCACACTAGGCGCGTATTCAAGAGATCCGAGGTTCGAGTCCAGGCGAGGGCACTGCTCATTTTTCATGTCTCCTGCTTCGAAATAACCTAATGTTTCTACAACTTAATTATGGATCTTCTTCAGGATGTGTTCGTTTGAGATTTTTGCACACGTTAGGGTAGACTACATTATAAAAAAGACTATAGGTTAAATTAGCTTAACAACACAGATACTTTTCTCAAGAATGCTAAATTTAAAAATTTAAAAATGATGAATTCTAAAATTATTGGCAACGCCTACTAGTAGAGAAAAATAGTATCTGGAAGATATAACAGGTATCCTCATTGCGATTTTCATTTTGAGATAGCTTGTTTTAAAATCAAAGAAGATTAGTAGAGCAGATATTTCCATAAAGATGTGCGGCAGAGAATTGAAAAATTGAAAAAGATGATTTTGTAGCTACAGCTAGATAGATGGTTTAGCTGATGGAAGAAAAGAGAAAACATTGTATACAAACGTAATTCATGGTGAAGAAGAAAGATGCTTATTTACTTGCTGCAAGAGCATGGTTGTCAAATGAATGAACTAAATTGTCGACGAAGTACTTTTCTAAAAACATTTATAATGCCGACAAATAGATCTATATTATCGTGCACTGCCCAACACATATATTTATTTAAACTAAAGCATATAAAATTTCGAAAGATCGTGTGCTCATTTTATGCTGCGATAATACACGTATAGTACGAAAAGGAGAAACTAGCAACCTTTTAATATATAATCAAATAGAAGGATTTGAAGAACTGAAAAAACTTCTCTCCAGCTAAATATGAATTGTGAAGAATTTAAAGAATGGGTGGATATCGATGAAAAAAGTTGCTGCATCAATGACAGCAGAAGATATTTACCAGTTGCTTTTGAAACAAATCCCACAACAGCACGTGATAAACGTTCTAAAGGGAGATGATGAAATAGTGAATTTTCTACAAATAATGAGATTAGGGATACCCTGTGAGCGTTAATATTAAGAATACAGCATGAATAAAATAATTTCCAGCTACATTATAATTATAAACAATACATAACTGAACTTTTGCGTAACAATTAGAGATAAACTATTACTTCGCACTTTAAAAACTCAAAGTTCTTTCTCAAAATTCATAATGAAAGTCTAAACATTGATACAGTACTTTTCTGAAGGTGGTTCTTTGGATTTTTTATGAATTCTGATTTAAAATATGGCTAATTGACAGCTTTTTTTGTGTATTTCGGAAGCTGACCGTTTCCTTTGACACTAAAACCTTGAAACACTAAAGTACATGGCTCAGCTTACCTTTCAGGCATTGGAATCGGTCATCTGCCCGAACAGTTTTGAGTTTAATCTTAGTTATATGGTACACACAGGATTTGGAGACATTTTATGATGAGCAGTAAACGAGTCATTTTTGTGTTGGCGACAATTTTCAAAATCGCGACAAGGCCGTACTACAAGAATTTTATCTAGTTTTGTAGTTCATTATTACGTAAACACGAGAAAATTCCTCTCAGAAAGCTCTCTGACAAAGCATCCATTTCAAAATAAATTAAATGAATACGCTTCATAAAAATTAAATGGTAAAACAAAAATTGAAAATACAGTAACGTAATCCAGATATGTATGGACTTGAAGAGTTTAAAAACACCATTAAGTCTAATATTCGCTTTAAATAATATTTCATAAATATAAATTTCGATTTCCTATACCTTATTTTCTTATTCTTATTTCCTTTCCTTATAATAATATTCCCTTAATGAAGGACTCCAAGAAATGAACTAGTTTGTATTTATTACGCGAGGAACAAAACGTATGAAAACGTAGCATCAGTTCATTCAACGTGCGTGAATATTTTAATAAGAAAGAAGCTTCGCTTAATCACTTAAATTTCAAACTCATATGTGAGAGAATCTCAAAATTTCTGTGCAGTATTTATTTATTACAGTTCAAATCCTAAAACAATGTCAAAAAATAAGACTTCCATTGCCATCTGCTTGCGTGCGTCTATTAGTTTGGTTTAAAGCATGTGTTGGTGTTGCCATCTAGTGAGGTATTACAACACTATCTTTCGCATTTCTCTAAAAACTATGTTGCCTGCTTTGATTCAAAATTTTGTTTCCAAGTAAATTTCAACTGATAGACACATAATCTTGAAAGCAAACATATAAACTTATTAACTGAGCCCTACCTATGCAGGTGCAACAGGCGCACACCAACAAGGCCTGCTTGGGAGGGGAAAGCCCAAAATGCTGTTCACAAGAAATTATGCTTTTAAGTTAAAAAACTTTTTGCCTTTTTACTGCGTGATTTCGAAATTAGATTTTGGTCTTAGACCCTAGATGCCTCTGCTCACCGACGTGAACATTCGAATGAATAGCAGAACTGACCGACATTTTTAACGTGCCTACAGTAAAAATCGCGACATAAATATAAATTTCGATTATTTAGGTTAGTTACAGTGTGAATACAACAACGTAGTCATTATATTTGTGTTTTCGCGTATACACTGAAGTGACAAAAGTCATGGGATACCTACTAATATTTTATCGGTCCTCTTTTTGCCCGGCGAAATGCAGCAACTTGACGTGGCATGGACTCAACAAGTCGTTGGAAGTCCCCTGCAGGAATATTGAGCCATGCTGCCTCTATAGACGTCATTAATTTATAACGTTGCGCGCCTCTAACTAGCACGCAACCTAGATGTGACTGTGAAAGCTTGTATAAACCACAGAGTCTTATAAAGGGTTTAAGTCCCTTTTTATTCAACGTACTAATTTACAATTGCGTCCTCTTGACGCTTACAAACTTTGCCAACTAGGCAGTCAAATAAAAATAATAACCTGAAAAGAAAATAAAGACAAGATTCTAACTACGAGGCTCTCTAAAATAACTAATTCACCGCGTTTTACAAATACCGCAGCTAATTCAGCAGACTTGAAGCTCACTGGAACAATTGCAACTA